GTCCGACTAATTATGTTCTAAAATTTTTTCTTACTTCCACTATATAGAGAAGCCTCGAATGTGTTATTTTCACTAGTGAAAATATCAATTTTACGAAATGGAGAAATATAGGTATTTCATAGATAATTATATGATAAAACGTAATACAGCGGCATCGTACTTGGTATGCTACTTCTTAATCTGCAAATTATTTTTTGACTTAAAGTTACTTATATATAATAATTATCTTGAAAATAAACTCTTTTTCGCAAAGGATTTGAATGGTAAGGTACTTGTGAGTGCTTCCGCTGAATGTGAATCTGTCACTTTCACCAGACTCTTTKCTCTAAAAAACTTCAGTGATGTTGCCAAAAAGGTAAATTTTATTCATCTTAAAAAACGTACTGACGTTTCGGAGGCTAGTCTATCATCGGGGTTGAAAAAAGAAACTAGGGTACTATATGTGGAATTGTTTTTTCTGTGTTTCACAMTAAATAATTATTCGTAAATAATCATGAATCGCGAAGAAATTATGAATGATAACTATAAATTGCCAAACATAAAAGGAATCACCTAGCAACGATTGAAACTTAGTTACAAAGACTTGGTGGAATAGCTTTTGCCTAAAACTACCAGAATGCTTTGCGTTGATCACTTTTAAAAATAAACATCAGAAGAATAGTTGGAAGGAAGCCATATTAATCGCTCGCAAAGAAATGATCTTGTTCTCAAAATCATGATAAATTTATAGTATAGCTCCTGAATGAAGCTGTTTCACAATAGAGACAGTCTTTTGTTTTTCAGTTTATTTAGATGAATCAATGTTCAATGTATATATGACTGTTTGGGTCTGCATTGCTCGGTGATACCATACAGTCGTCGTTTGACACCTTAAGAAGCTCCTGATATCCCAGGTCATCTACAGCAACATCAGATGTGAATGATGACCCAATGATTGCATCAATATCAACCTGCAAAGCAAAAAAAAAAACCTCATTACTAAAAATAAATGAATCCTCTGCGTTTACTAGTGATATTTTTAATACCGAGCTTTCGGCCTAAGCGGCCATTATCAAGGTAGAGTACACGTAAGATTTTAAACAACGCAAAAAACGGAAAGCGCGCGAAACCTCATTTGTGCATGTGATCTAACAAGAACACACTCTATACATTGACGTTGGCAATGATTTGTCTGAGGTTGACCTTACAGAAGCACAACCGAAACTAAAGWATATTGGACCTCTTACCGTATGAAAACCACCTTTGAGAACTGGAATTTCTCCTTTCAACCATTGTTCGCCTTGATTTCCAGAAAGCTGCCATTCCAACTTACGATCGACATAAACCTTCAAAGTGCCCATATTTAATCCAYGCATATGATAATAAAAGTAGAGACATGACGGGTATTGAGMCCATAAACGCGCYGTCAAGCGTGCRCGGTCACCATGTTTTCTTGGATAAGATGCTTCAGCATACATGTATTTACCTAAAATTGTAGATTGAATTGGATGGTGACAAATGACTAGTTTTTGTTCTAAACTTATTTCGACGAATAGAAAGATAGAATGATAAAAGCTATGCATTGAGTATCATGCTTGGTATGCTACTTCTTATGCAAATTGTTTTAGCCTTAGAGGTACTTACACATTGTATTGTTGGTCTCTGTATTAAAAAAACCTTGAAAATAAAATTGTTTTTCGCAAAGGGGTTTGATTTGTAAAGTACTTGGGAGTGCTTCCGCGGAATTTGAAGCTGTCATTTTCAGCAGACTTTTGGTTCTAAAAAACTTAAACAATGGCACTTCCAAACTTTGTCAAATATGCTGTGGTTTAACATCTATTATTTATTGCACCATTTTCATTTTCATTTATTTCACCATTTGCATCTATTATTTATTGCACCAAAAAGCGAAGGCAAGCAAAACGAAAATACTGATGAGCGACAGTCATTCTCCAGTCCAGAAATTCTGTCCTATTGACAACCACGTCCTTACAATCAAGAGCATTTCGCATTTATCGATTTGGCTCAGATCACAATTTAGATATAAAGTCTATTGTTTAGTGACTTACCATTACTATAACTKGTGRAATGATCTCCTGGGGGACCAGTGCCGTTGCTAGGTGTAGGACCTTTTGTTTTWATCCAATCAAAATCGTCCTTGTTGTCTTGATGAATTAGACATGCACCCTCATCAAATTCACACAGAACATCTGAAATAAAAAGTAGTGGATGATGCTGATTATGTTGCAGCAGGAAAYACWTGCTTCAAAGTTGGTTTGCCGACGGAATATTTTGCGTATGGGGTAGGATCTTGTGCTTATCATTMCTTTTGGTRCAATAGACCTTTTCTCTAATMGCATTGCGCGGTAATAGAATTACGCATTGCATCACGGTCTAGTTTCAGTATGTATTAAAATGATAACCTGCTTATGAATTGCTTAGGCCCTTTGCAGCTGGGGGTCACGTGACCACACCTACCTCAAATCAATCAGCAATGACAAATTGATGTTCAGTAATGGAAAGAGGGGATCAAAATAAGAAAAAGACATAGTTTCAAGTCTCAACACTAAATATTTCAAATTTCATAGCAAATATAAAATCTTTTTTTTCTAAAGAAACATATGCAAAAACAGAACTGGAGAGCAAAGCTTGCTCTCCAGTTCTATTTTCCCATACGTTTCYTTGAAAAATCAATATTTTACATTTTTGCTGTCATTTTCGAAGTATTTAGAGTTGAGACTTGAGACTTTGCCAATTTACCAACATAAATCTGCTCTTTCCATTTTTGAACATAGCTGATAGTTGATGATTGATTTAAGGTAGGCGTGGTCACGTGACCCCCAGCTGCAAAGTGCCTATTATATGGAAAACAAAATGTTACGTGCTCGCGCGGATTTCACCTTCGAGTGCTGCAAATAATTTTGTTAGTTTTAGTTGTTTCTGGTTTTCGTAGATCTGCAACTTACTTTGTGGTCTGCGGTGTGGCGAAATGTCCAGCATAAGCGATGAATTAGCCGTTTCATTGAAGACAGACTCAAAACAATACCCTACAAGATTTTAGAGAGAGAATTGTAGACCTCATTCAAAAGTTGTATTCAAGGGAGGGGCACAATTTTTTCTTTGCTTACTGAGAGAAGGTCTCTATAATTTCTATAGGGTTCGATGCAAATTTAGTGGCCCACTACCAAATAAATGATAATAACTTCCTTAGTTCCCTCGCTAGGATTCGCAAGGAGCGCCTGTTACAAGTCGATGGTTACAACTCATTCACTCCGAGCGATGACATCGTACGAGAGTACACGTAAGGCCTTTCGTCTCCCCCAAAAAACCCTCTCTTCAATGGCAAAAATGAACGTGGTGCAACAGTGGTTAAGGACTTCCGGATGCGATTCCCAGACCGGGCTTTCACGTTGTGCCCTTAAGCAACTCTTTATTCTCTTAGATCCTAATCTTCTCATAAAATGTTGTAAAGCTTGAGGACCACAACCCACAACATGCAATATTGGACTAGGAATAAGGCATGAAGTTCCATGTTATATGGTCAGGATTTAGCTGGGGATGATGGCCCCGCTCGACCGATAATCCTCTCACGATCGGTTAGTCGCTAACGATAAATAAATAATAAATAAAACAGTGAGATTCAAGATCGATAGTCTCTTTCAGGGCCCCTGCGTCTTCTTGCTSAGCGTGTAATGATAGATACTTGTGAATAATTGTTGGTAGACGTCAAAGATGATTTCTATCATTGCACGCTATATGGTCATCTCACTTCGAGGCAAATGAACGGCGAGCTTCCAAGACCATGCAATGTATTAATAGAAAAAGAAACATGTGAAAATATTTGATTTCTAGGAGCATAAATAAAAAACTTTACAGAGATTTTAGAGGATCATTAGAAAACATTATGATCCAAATGTTCACATCATGGAAATAGGTATTGGTCCTCCGAACCTATAATACCGTATTCTACAAGGTTTTTCTATTTTTTTTACATAACCATGAAATGTATTTTACTTCGGTATGTAGAATTGTTTATAGAACGCTAATTACGTCCTTCCCCTGGGGACTTTGAGAATATTTATGCGAAAGCGTCGTTCACGCCCTCCACTCACGCTTGTGGACCATCTACAGGATACATCGAGTATACTTTCCCTCCCACCCACCCTCTCGGATAYAGTCGGGTCGTTATTTTTCAGTTKCGAGATAACTCACGTAGTTTAAGATTTAGTTCAATTTTTCGTCGATTCTGCTCTCATTTTCCTGCTTATAGGCTATATAAAGAAGACAGGTTGGAAAGCCTCAGATGTTACAGATGCGCTCAGTACGGCCACTGGTCCAAAGACTGCTGGAGATTTTCAAAGAAGACAACAAAACCTGCGTACGGCTCCTACATATATGCCGACTGCTACAAGACATCCCCCAACCAACCAGGATCAGGCAAATGAAGAGGTTATTGATAACGACTTACTAACTCAGGTACATAGGTATAAGCGGTTTGTGGGAGACTACATTATTATGGAGGGAAAAATTGGCGTTTACACTTGGAAGAAACACTAATTCGCTACTAGGATCCGACAGATATATCGGACAGGCTAGTGTTTACAGATGTGACTTCTATTCACGTTAAAAGACCACAGTAAGGTATGAATGCTATACTTATATCGGGAACAAAACGGAACAACAAATCGGCAAGGGCCAGTTGTTGCTTACGATATACAAACGCAAGGGCGAGTATAAATATGCATGTAGAAGTTCGTAGAACCGTGTACACTAAAGGAATGTTTTATTAAACAGTAGGCAAGGGYGACTTGTCGTTCTATATGCCAACGCAAGTGCGAGTACAAATAATTTGTAACTTATGRCAGCCGATAGGAATAATAATAATAATAATAATAAATAGTATTTATATAGCGCAAAATATCCACCAGGTTCTGATGCGCTTTACAAAATTGAATATAGAAAAATTCAATACTATTATAAAAATTTATGAAAAAAGATATTAAAAAAAAAGATATAAAAAATGTTTATTTGAAAAATAATTTAAATATGTACACTGTTTAATTATGAATATATACGTTTTTTGCATAATACACAAATACAATAATAATGATTTTATCATAAAATTTCAAAAAAGTGAAAATGCTTTCTTAAAAAGCCAAGTTTTAATTTCTTTTTTCAAAATACAAATTGATTTTGCTTCACGGACATTCTCAGGAATAGAGYTCCATAACTCAGGAGCAGCAAAAGAGAAAGATCTTCAGCCATAAAGTTTAAGGTTAAAAGATGGTTTGACTAAGAAGTCTCAAGAAGTTARCTGATGAAGATCTTAAAGAACGTGAGGGTTTATAAGGCTGAATAAGATCAGAAAGATAAGAAGGAGAAATTCCATTAAGAATCTTAAAAGTAATTAAAAGAATTTTATATTCAATGCGTTGATCTACAGGCAGCCAATGCAAGTTGCAAAGAATAGGCGTGATATGATCGCGTTTGCGAGAAAATAGAAATTAGTCTTGCTGCCGCATTTTGCACACGTTGTAACTTATAGAAGACTTGGGAAGACCATAGAGCAAAGAATAACAGAAATATAGTTTTGAAGRGATAAAATGCATGTACAAGTGTTTCACATGCACTGACACTGAGCCATTTGCGTATTTTCCAAATATTGTGAATGTGGAAAAAGCATGATTTACATACTGCTGTTATAAGAAAATGACCCCAATATTTCGTGCCGAGGAAGATGATAAAATGTTTTATCACCGTTAAGTTTTAGCTTGTTTGTAACCATTCATAAATCAATATCTTTGACACAGGCCTCAACCTTGGATTTTGCTGTCATCATCTCACTAAGGACGTTGTAGAGAAAGAAATATATAATTGTGTATCATCTGCATATAGGTGATAGCCAAGCTCACCTATATATATATATATCATGCCAAATTCTGCTTTTTAAGGAGAGGCTTAATCACAGAATGTTTTAGAATCGAAGGCATTGACGTAATAACGTATGCTAGACCTTCTATAGAGAACAACAAAACGGCAAGGGCCAGTTGTTGCTTACGATATACAAACGCAAGGGCGGGTATATTCTTGAAGTTCCAGACGACTAGTATATCATCATGTATACGACAACCCAGTGTCATGGTTTACCGTCCGTTTTGTTGTTGTAATGTCTAATAGTTAACGTATGACATCATGGGAATCCGGATCAAGAGTGTACGTATAGACGGCACTATACTAACCTATATACACAATGTTGTATTTTTCAGKCTAAGCAAGAGTGCCGTTCGTGGCTCCATTTTCCAATTGGGTTAAAGCCCAATTTAAATAATTTACTAACASCAATGTATACTTCTAGATCTACTTCCACAGCAGCCCTTTACTTAAAAGAGATGAAGGTCGTGAACATAAGTATACCAAAGTAGTGGTTTACCTCCTCGAGATCAAAGACAGCATGTCTGCYTCCTCGACAAACAAGGCCCACTCGGCACTAAAATGGTTCCMCTCTCTCTGCCCGCTCGAAAGTCTCAATCCACTGGACGAGGGTATCTGTAGGAACATAGTCGAAAGCACCAAAAGATCCCGGATAACTCCCAAAACAAAGAAGAAACCTATCACCATTGAAATAATAAAGCGGTTTATAGACAATGACGCAACAGACAACTCATCCTTTATAGAGCTACGTGTAGCCACTTCATGTGTAATTGGATTTGCTGGGTTCCTGTGATTCAATGARCTGTCAATACATATCTCTTTTGATAAGCACTTTATAGTAATTTTCATTCCAAATAGTAAGACAGACATTTACCGAGAAGGTAACAAGATTTACATCGCTAGAACGGGGACCAAATATTGCCCTGTAGCATTACTAAAAGTACATAGAGTCAGATAATATTCCTAGAATAATTGAATAACATTTGTTCCGTAGAATAACGAAAACTGTCTTACACAAGGTGTAGAGAAACGTTGAAGGTCTGCTATATTTCCCTAGATTACAATCATAAAGATTAAGCTCTACATAGCTTAAGATCAGGCGGTATCACAGCAACTATACAGTCAAATATCTCTATTTCAGAAAGACTATTAAAACTCCATGGTCGTTGGAAAAGCGATACTGCAAAAGACATGTATGCCCGAGAGCCTGTTCAAAGTAGAAGTAGACTAGCTAAAAATTTAGGATTGTCAATCATCCATTGTCATCTAGTATTAGTGACGTTAAAAAGCTATTAATCATTTATCAATATCTGTTTATTATTGCTAATAAAATCAGAATTATGGTCCGCAAGTGCACCTGCCATTTACAACATCGTATGTTGTCTTACTTATATTCAAAATATAGAAGATAAATATTTTACGTTCGTTTGAACGAAATGAATGAGAACGTAATTGTTTTTCCCATTTAAACTCACCGATCAAAATGAACAATACCAGCAGTATCTTGTTCATAGTTGGACTCCTTGACGGCTTCACCTCAGTAAATGAATACCATTCTATGTGTGAAGTGCTTTTCCACCATCCTAGAGGTAAATATGAGCTCATTAGTCAGAAACTATGATGGTTTCATTTGTGCTTTGTCATGTCGA